GCAAGTCAAGTATCACGGGATCAAAATTGAACCCCGAACGTTAAAGTAACAGGGAAGTAAAACAATGATCTCGGAAAAATAAAACCAAAACATGAGTTTAAAGCCGACCCAAAGCGGCAAATATGTTCAGACAAAATAAAAAAAGGGGCTCAAAGGCCCCATAGCAAACAAAATACATAATAAAAATCGGCATTCCGACCCCTTCATTCGGCAACATGTGGAGAGTTGGTCTCATGAGTTTCAGCTCTGGTCTCCTCCTCGTCATCAGAGTCAGAGCCCAGAGTTTCGGGAATGATGGCGCCATCCTTCACATCATTCGCGACGTCCATGCCATCAGTGATGAGGCCAGGGTTTAGAACATGGGCTTGAGCAATTGCATTGTCAAAGGCTTGGACGGCGGCATTCATGACCACAGCTTTAGCCTCTTCAAAGTCGGCTTTCGTCTTTTCCAAGTTGGCTTGCAATTTCTGGATCTGAACATCCTTATCCGCCATAGACTTGGAGAAGGTCTCCTTCTCAGCACTTAATCCATCCGCCTTAGCAATGGCCGACTCCAAAGCTTTCTTCACCTCATCAAGCACAGAAGTCAACTCTCGAACTCTCGCCTCCAATTCAGTCTTAGACTTACTAAGATCACCATTCTTGGAAACAAGGGATGAGTTGGAAGCAACAGCTAAGTCGAGCCTCTGATGGAGATCCTGAAAAGATTGGAGCAAAGAAGATGCCTTCAAGGAGTCCTCCTCCAACTGTGCTATCAGGGCCCTCGCGTCAGAAGTCAGGGCCGAGCCACCCATGAGCTGTGGAGGAGGCTTCAGGGAGGCCCTAAGTCGGTCCGACACTCCGACCTTCCACAACTCCCCAGGTTCCAGGACTATCATGTCCCCATGAGGAATCACCAGAGGCGGAGGAAGTGGAGAAGAGGGAGGAGTAGGAACATCAACTGAGACCACCTCGGCACCCAACCTGTTGCCACCGAGTATGAAGTCAACCTGTCTTTTGTTTGAAACCTCCGGCTCAAGGAAGGCAGCCTCTCTCGACTTTCCTTTAGCGGACTTCTTGGGCTTAGGAATAAATTTCTTATATTCGGCGGAGGTCATACTGACTGCAAAAGAGAATTAAAGGTCAGGACGCAAGCTCCGAATTCAGCAGAAAATAAACCATAAAAATAAATCACATACAAAGTTCACAAAGGGCATCCTCGCCAAATTTATCTACAATCTGACTTAGATCAATAATGCCATACTCGTCGACATATTCGATCAGAACGGAAACCGCCAACCTTTTCGAACTAGAAAAAGCTGCTAATGGGGTATCATAGTCCTTAGGACGCTTCCAATAATGCTTTTGCGTCCAGTACAATTCAAACCGACATGATAGGTCCCCATTGTCCAGCTGCTCTTCGACGAACCACGGAAGGGAGTCAGAACGAGATGTCACCTTGAAGTAGGCATCCTTAAAGCCCTTGAAGGACTGTGAATAGGAAATAAAAATACCCCTACCTGGAGCACCTCGAAGGGTTACCCACCCCTTTCTTTCTTTAGCCTCGGCACCAGTCCGGGCTGTATATACATCAAATAAGAAGAAGAAAAGAGGAACTGTGCAAGGCAAACAGAGGTAGGCGCATACTTGCTCGAAACCTCGAATGAATGCCCACGAATTAGGGTGCAGCTGCGAGGGCGCGACCCTAAGTCGGCGAACTACGACCATTTGAAAGTCGAAAAAAGGGAAACGAATTCCCAACTTCGTAATCAGATCCCGGTAAAAATAGAAGAAATGAGGTTCATCCAAGCTAGGACCGGAGCACACTGGGTAATCTCCCGCTGGAAGAATATCAACCCCATTGAGGTCTCCAACTGGAAGTTGGGCTACATCGACGGGAGACATCGTAGATCGCATTTGCAGTATCTCGGTAAGAACCCAATCTTGAACGTCAGAACATCCCATAGTTGTGGTCCTGGAATATGAAGGATAAGGATCAGTACACATATCAACCAAATGTGACCTCGAACTACCCAGGTCGGACGACAACGAAGATGTACTCCAAGAAAAAGGAATGGAGCTGTCTGAACTACTGACGAGGTCAACGAACGGTACCCGACTTGATGCAGAATCATCCAGGCAAGAAGGTGTGACCGATTCGGGAAAACCCAGCTCGGTCGAAGAAAGGCTAGAGGAGCTATCGCTCAAACCAAGAGGAGGGATCCGATCCAGAACGGACCTCGGACCCGGAGTTACCTGGGAAGACGGTAAAATATAAGACAGAGGGACAGGGTCGGGAAAGGAACTCGACCCGGGAGTTGAAAGACTCGTTAAGGGAGGGCTGGTGGAGCCAAAATTAAGCTGACTCTGACGACCCCCTCCTCTCCGACCTTTCCCTCTCCTGCCAACGCCACCCCGGGATCTCCGACGACCTCCCCCGTGACCACGAAGAAGCTGTTGAAGCTTCTCCTCCTCAGTGTATTCTTTACCAAAGAGCCAGTACTGGATCGACCTAGGTAGTCGCCTCATTACCTCCTCACTTACCTCTTCCCCTCGGCCAGAAGCCGGGCCAGAAGAGGAACCAGGGGCACTCATCAGGAACCCCCACAAAAGATAAAAACATGGAACCCCCAAATGAAAGGGACAAAAAGAACGCGAGTCCAGTACAAAGTAAAACACTACACTTTAGAACGTTACACTCTAGAATCTCCAAAATATACAGTCAAACAAAAAGCAAAGCATGCACCAGGCAAACACTCGAGACAATGGAGTAAGTGAAGAAAATAAAGGAAGGAAGAAAGGAATACCTGAACAAAGAGTGGACAAAGCAACTGGGAATCGATTAAAGAAAGTGCAAACTCAAGAAAAGCCTTCCTAAAACAGCAGCAAGTGTAGAGAAAAACGCTCACAGCAAAACTCATTCGAAAGTAAAAGTCCAACACCAGTTTTCAAACCGATATCTAAAGGACGAAGAGCATAAGGCGCGAAGACGAAGGGGTTTTTCTAAACGGTTAAGTGATGAGGGGGAAAAAGGGGACTTCACCTTGAATGCATTAAATGCACGCAATCATGACCTATGCAAAGCTTATTGCGGCGCACCCTGCACAATGCACGAACCCCCAATAAGGGGAAGGCGCGTGGAAACTTGCAACCGTCACAGCAGGCATAAAGCGAAAGGTCAGGGGGATCTGATCAGGTCAAATTCCGACCTTTGAGCTACAAGGTCGTCTTAAATATTGTAGGTCAGGCATGAGCTCGACCATGAGGTCAAACAAAAATTTCCACTCGACCCAACATGATTAAGTCGAAGCTGGGATCAAACAATGCTTGAAGGCAGATCAAGAAGCGTTACGCAATCGATCTCGATAAAAGCAATACCGAGCTAGAGCGTTAACGTCAAAAACCCAAAAGTTCAAATCCAAGACCAACGAACTCGGACAAACTAGATCCGGGATGACATAATAACACCTCGACATCCCGAACCTCGGAATACCGAGCTGGGGGGCAACTGATATGGATATGAATATCATATCCCAACTACCTTCTAGGGTATCTAGCAAGAGATAGAGTCGTCAGCATCTCAACAACTCTAAGCAGCCAAAAGGGCACATGATAAGGATGTCATCCCAACAGAAAGAGAGTTGAATCCTATTGCAATTAGGGGAGCTCAAAGGGCTCAAGCCCAGGAAGGTAAACCTATAAATAAGAGCCTAAACACTCCAGGTAAACACTTTTTACCTATTTACGAATATTGTCCACACTGTGCACACACCCACCCACCCCTTGGCTATAAGCCTATTGTTTGTGCGCAGTGATTGGAACCTCGGCTCTAAGCCTAGTATACACTTGATATAAACTATCTCTGAGCGCATACCATACGGTATAGCAATACGGTCTATCCAGGACTTTACACATCACTTACGGATATATAGGGAAATTGCGTCACTATAATACTTGATTTTTTTTTTCAAAATAAAAGTTTAGGAAGATTTTTTTGTTACTATAAATTTGAATTTGGTATCGAAGGTACACATTATATATAGCATATTTATACACAAATTTTCTAAATATGTGTGTAAAAATCATCTCAAATAAATGAACACATTAATGGAATAGAACCTAAATATTAGTTTAAAAAAATCATTTCAAATAAATGGACGCGTTTCCAGGACTTGATCCCATGTGTAACCAAGGCTTTATATATTATTCACATGATTCCTTGAAAAATGGGTTGAGAATGAAAAATAAGATGGGCTATCACTGCAATACCATATTGAAAGTTGCTTTTGCAATGACACATCAAATATTCTTTGATTTGGTTATATTCGCTTCAGATAGCGTTGAAAGGGCAATTTCGTCACTCTGAAAGAGTGAATAGCTTAGTAACTAAGAATAGGAAGAAAAAAATAAAAATTTCGGAATACCCTAATGCAGAGAAAAGTAATCATATATTGAGAGAAAAAACTGTATATCATTTTAAATGATATAAGTTATGTTATTTTATAGATATGAAAAGGTGAGATTTATTATTTTATTTTTATTTTTATTTTTATTTTTTTTAGTGGAAACTACATCTTGTGTCTATTAAATGACAAAATTTATATTATTTAAAATAAGAGTAAATATCATTTTGGATCCCTAACAAAAAATGCGGTCCCTTACAAAAAAAATGAGTCTCGAGGTATTTAAGAAATTCAAAATGGACTCATTTTAATCTTTTTGAGGGATAATGTGAGTCTTTTTTTAAATTTATGAGAGACCACAATTTCAACAAAATGGATCCACTTTAAATTTGTTAGAAACCTCGAGACTAATTTTTTTTATAAGGAATTAAAAATGAAGACCGTATTTTTTGTTAAGGACTCAAAATGTATTTACTCTTAAAATAACACACACTTTTACAATATTGAAATTATTTGAAAAGGAGATAGAAATGTTGAAAATCTCGAATCTTTATGGAGTGATATAAACAAATTCCATCTCACTTTAAAAGAGAAAGAAAACTGAAGACAACGCAAGAATCACAAGAGCCAAACCAATAAGAGAGAGAGAGAAGAAGAAGAAGAAAAGAAAAAAGGGAGTGTAAAATGCAACGGTTCAGCAACACAGTGATAGGATTCTTGAACTTTTTTACACTCTTAGCATCAATACCCATCATTGGTGCAGGTCTATGGATGGCCAGGAGCACCACGACTTGTGAAAATGTTTTTCAAACGCCACTTCTTGTTATAGGCTTTGTTGTGCTTGTGATTTCACTAGCAGGTTTCATAGGGGCATGTTTTCATGTGGCTTGGGCTCTTTGGGTGTACTTGGTGATCATGTTGTTCCTTATAGTAGCCCTCTTTAGTTTAACTATATTTGGTTTTGTTGTGACTGGCCAAGGCAGGGGAGTGGAAGTGCCTGGTAGGGTTTATAAGGAGTATCGTCTTGAAGATTATTCACCATGGTTGAGGAATAGGATAAAGGATCCTCAATATTGGAGTACCATTAGGAGCTGTATTTTGGGGTCTAACACTTGTGCCAAGCTTGTATTTTGGACCTCTCTTGATTATATGCAGAGGGATATGTCTCCAATACAGGTACGCAAAAACAGTTTGTTTCTATCTTGGGGATTTACTATACTTTTTGTATTTGGAGTTTGCATTTGGGTTCTATTTGTGTTTTTTATATCTTGGAAGGATAATTAAGTTTTGTACTTCTCTTAATTAGTTATATGCAAATGAAATTTTTAAGGAAGTTGTGACGTAAAATCTTTTTAATATTAATACAATTATGTTCTCATTTCTAGATATTTGAACTCAAGATCATTGGTTAAGTTAAAATAATCTATTTTCAGTTGATTTAATTAAGTACTAATAAGTTGTGGTTTAATTAAGTAATTAAGTTATAAGCTAAACTAGAAATAGTGTTTTTTTTAATACATTAGAAACAGTTGACTTCGGAGGTATATGAGTAATTTTTTCTTTTTCTTTTTTTTTTAAACAAAATTTCAGTAAGAGACTCATAGCTACTACTGATTTCAAAATTAATCATTAATCAGATTTTCCACTGCAATTTTGTGAATCTTAAAACAAGTTATATCTTCATTTCTTTCAATCGTGTTAAAGATTAAGTGGCTTCGATATAAATATTGGTATGTGTGTGTATATATATTATATTGACATACTATTTTTTTTAAATATCATTGTTTTTTTTTACCATTCCTTCGATAAAGCACGTATCTAGCTTGGTTCAATATCATTGTTTCTGTAAGGAATTAATTTGCTATTAATTTCTTCTTATCAAGTATTAGTCATTTTATAAGGGGAGAAAAAATAGGAGGATCCAATTTGAAAGTAAATTTTTTTTTATTTGTTATCAAACTGATGAACATTCCATATATTACGATTGTAGCATTTGATGATGGTTAGGATTGTAGATGCTCATCAATGCTAAAATTATAATTATCATTAATACTGCAATCGTAACACATTAATACTACAACCAATCGCAACTCACTCCAAAAAAAAATTTTGACATGAATTCTTAATCATAATTATGTGTGAATGCAGTCTGGATGTTGTAAACCACCAACTGCGTGCAATTACAACGTGGAAACAATGGTGACCCAAGATCCAGATTGCTACCGTTGGAACAACGCCCCCAATTTTCTATGCTACGAATGTGATTCTTGCAAGGCTGGTGTACTTGAAAACATAAGAAGGGATTGGCACAAGATCTCTGTTCTTAATGTTGTGGTGCTTGTGTTTCTTATAGGTATATATTCCATTGGTTGCTGTGCTTTCAGAAATGCTAGAAGAGCTGAAACTGATTACCCATATGGTGAAAACCGCATGACCAAAGTTAAACCCAGATGGGATTACTATTGGTGAGTCTAAGAACCTTCAACATGAAAAGTTTTCTAAAATGCGAAAGGAAAAAAATTCAAGTTTTTTTTTTATCCGCTTCATGGAGTACATGACTATGAACTTGAAATACTAGAGTATTGATTAAACTGAAATAATCCCTTACTAATTCCTTGTTTGAAGTTTTCTATATAACTCTTTGGATGGTCAAAAATTTCGGACTGCATTACATGGTCAAAAATTGAAGATTTTTGCATTTATATATTGTTATAATTACTTTCAGTACATAGAGTTGGTATAATCTTTATTTTTGTTATTAAAAATGTGAATGGTAATATTTTAGCGCGACATGTGAAACCCATGTGATGATGCCCAGATCTTTTGACCGCTACCTAATACTTTTGGTCTGCTTTTACCCACAGGTGGAGATGGTGGCATGACAAGAAGGAGCAGCTTTTTTAGGTCTTGGGGTGCTCAAAAGAGGAGGCATTTCACTAGTTTTTCAGTATATGATCTTAAAATAATTTTCAAGGCCTTTGATTTACCATTATCTTGCTTTTGTACAAATCTTCATTTTACTTTATCTAAAACATCAGAGCAGATCTTGCCTTTCTTTCCCACTTTATTTTTTCCTTTGCATTGTGGCTATTATTTTATTTGATAGGATTAACGTTTTTCATGTTACATGGAAATAAAATTATCTCGTCTAATTCTAAAACGATATTATTTTGGAATTTAATATAAAAAAATATTATATTTTGAAAATTATATTTTCTTATTATAACATGTATTTTTATCAAAATATTTTTTTTATTCTAAACTCCAAAATGATGTTATTTTAAGATGGTAAGATGAAGTGTATAAGGGAGGTTTACTGCTATCATTTTTTTCTTGGGTACAAGAATGGGCTTAGCCCTAGCTAACATAATAATAAAAAGAAGCAAAAACATAAACAGAAAACGAAACATAATAGAAAAGTAGAAACTTAGGGTCTGTTTGATTGTGTTCTGTTTTTTTGTTCTTAAAACTATTTTGTAAAATAGTTATGAAAATAGTTGTTTTCTATATTTATTTATTTTTGAAAGTTAAAAACCAAAATAGAAAACAAAAACAACTCAGACATGTTCTTTAAATTTGTTTCTAAAAACAAAAAAACAGTTATAGTTTTCAAAATATTTTTTACAAAACAAGTCTTACCCAACGAGTTTTTTTTTCGTTTTTTTGTTCTGAAAACTAAAAAACAGTTTTTAAAAACAACAATCAAACAGAGCCACTGACTCTGCTTGATTACTGTTTTTAAAAACAGTTTTTTAGTTTTCAGGAAAAAAAAAAACTCGTTTGCCAAGACTTGTTTTGTAAAATAAATTTAAAAACTATAACTATTTTTTTTTTAGAATGAAATTTAGAGAACATTATTAGTAGAACAAATTCCAACTCGGTGAGCATTGTAAGAATCTGCACTGTCAAATTAGGAATTTAAATAATTTATTTATAAGTTTAAGAAATAATTTCATAATTAACTTTAGATAAATATAAAAAGATTAGAATAATTATCGAGAAGATCAAATAATGCTTAAATCTCTTTTATGATGAAAAGTGCGGATACCGGTTCTGCTTCACAATATAAATGCGTACCGGTGAAGTATTCTAAAAAAACTATAATAAAAATATAAATATTCCTAGAAAATACAAGAAAAAAGTTTATTTGTGACGAAAAATTTCGTCAGAAATAATTTGTCACAAATGACAATTTTTGACACAACTAATCAAATTTCGTCATAAATAAACTTGCGACGCAAGAATTTGTGACGAAATTTCATTAAATTTAGTCACTAATAAGATTTTTTCTTGTAATCTAGGTCAAGTATAACAAGTTTGGAGTAAAAATAATGAGCGGTGATGTCAGAACATATACCGGCTGGGTAACGCATATCGGTAAAGTGTTTCGAAAAATTATAATAAAAATATGATAATTCCAAGAAAAATGTATAGGTTAAGAATATAAAATTTAGAGTTAGACAAAGAGCGAAACTAATTAAACTAATACTGTTAGTTTAAGTGAGTGCACCTATATATAACTAATGGCACTAAACCCTAGGTCATTTTTCAGACCCCAATGCTGATCTTCATGGCTGCCATGTTGGGTTCTTCATTATGTCATTGCCTTTCTTCCAAAATCTTGTGACTTTCTCACTAAATACTACCAAGTCTTCATCTTTCTCTATTCATATGCAAAAGAATCATCATCAATCCTTTTTAAGCTTGAGTTTTATTGAAGAAAAACACCACTTGGGCAGTTTAATTTTTGTTTTGGGATAAGGGTAGAGAGCCACCATCTTTCTTCTTGGTTGAGAGCTATTTTTCCACACTTGGGAGTGTAAGAACCCGCACCGTTAATTAAGGAGATTAATTAAATAAATGTGAGAATTAGGAAATAACTCCATAATTGACCTTAATAATTATTATGAGGCTTAAATAATTATAGTAAGTGAGTAATGATGTTGAAAGTCGCTTTTCTGATAAAAAGTCCAGATACCAGTTCTGCTACTCGATATAAATGTGTATCGATGAAGTATCCCAAAAAATTATAATAAGTGTGGGAATATTCCTAGAATAATATATAGGACTTGTAAAACAAGTTTCAAGTTAAAATAATGAGAACTGGTGCTAGAATTGATACTGGCTATAGAAAAGCGCGTACCGGAAAGGTGCTGCGAAAAATAAAATAAAAATATGATAAATCTTAGAAAAATGAGTAGTTTAAGAATCCTGAGTTTGGGATTAAAATGATAAGTGTAGCACTTAGCGCTAATACTGTGTGATTAATCCTTAACCGACTATAAATAGAGCATTACACAAAACCCTAGGGTGATTCTTTGTGCTCTACGTGCCTCCACTTGCATTCCTCTGGTCAGCCACCTTACCACCTTCTTCCCTCTCCATTGAGCCATCAAGAGGTCACATTTCCTCTTGGTTTCTTCACAAAAACTCCATGGGTGAGTGTGTTCAAGCCTTGGGAAATAGAAAAAGGTTACATTTCTAAGTTAGGGTGTCAGTTTTAGTGAGGTTTGGGTGCTGAATTTTGGTTTGGGGAAGTGGTAAGCCTTTTTTTTTGTGGTTGATGCTCCAAGGAGCTACCTTGTGAAGTAAAAGACCAACCTTGATGCTCATTTTCGTGGACCAGCGTAGTCAGACTTGTGGAGCTTCATAGAGAGCTCCAAGAGCACCTCTCTTTTCTGTTTTGAAGCCTTGGGTATGTTCCCTAACTTGATCATGAGTTTTAATGGGTTAAAGCTTGAGTCTTGGCATGTAATATGTTAAAATGAAGTAACTAACACGTATATGAATCTGTATATGCCTAAAAATGGATTCTATGACGTATAATAATGGTAAAAGTTGGACCTTTGGGTGATATCTTCGCGAAAATGAAGAACTGCATTCTGTCGCGAAATATCCGGATATTGGTATCCGGATATGGGGTCTTGTGATATCGGAATATGGATATCCGGATATGTATATCCGGATATGATATCCGAATATGGGATATCTGGATATGTCCCCGACATATATCTAGATATTCTGGGTTTGCGTGAACAGTAACGGTACTGTTCATACAGAACTGAGTTATGGGTTTGTGGACCCTAGATTATGGAAGTTGAATTTCTGTAATGATTAAGTTAAGTCAGAATCAAAGAATTAAGGGCTTGTGGCTTTGTGAGAAGTCTTAAGACATGAAACGTAAAAGATAAGCGTTGTCTTATGTTATATGCTTATGAGCTATGGTTGTTGATATGATTGCTGGTCCAAAACAGATTGTGATTCTGCTGTGTTTGGACGTTGAGTTTGTGTGGACTCTTGGCTTAGATAGTTAGCTTGCAAGGTAAGTTTTCGTGTCCTCGGCTTAGCCATTTTTTGTTCCACCATGTCCCATTGGAGGATGGTTATATGCATGATGTGTTTTCATGTACTGTTTTATTGAAATGCTATGGAGCTGTTAAGTGCAAAATGTTTATGATATGTATGTGGTGTTTCGCCTAGCCAAGAAGCCATGGGAAGGTACAACATGGACTGGTAATGTGTGGGTAATAGACGTATTCCTGCACTTCTCTGATCAGTAGTGTAAGAACCTGCACCGTTAATTAAGGAATTTAATTAATAAATTATGAGAAAATAGGAAATGATTCCATAATTAACCCTAATAATTATTATGAGGCTTTAATAATTATAGTAAGTGAGTAATAATGCTGAAAGTCGCTTTTCGGAAGAAAAGTGCAGATACCGGTTCTGCTAGTCAGTATAAATGAGTACCGAAAAAGTATCCCGGAAAATTAATGAAAGTGCATGATAATTACTAGAATGATATGTAGGACTTGTAAAACGAGTTTCAAGCCCAAATAATGAGAACTGGTGCTAGAAACCGGTACTGGCTTGGAAAAGCTCTTACCGGAAAAGTGCTCAGAAAATTATAAGAAAAATATGATAATTCTTGTAAAAATGAGTAGGTTAAGAATCATGAGTTTGGGATTAAAATGCTAAGCGTAGCATTTAAAGTTAATACTGTGTGTTTTATGGCTAAGTGACTATATATATGCATTTTAGCACATAACCCTAGGCATACCAGAATTCCTACGTGAAGCACTTGGTGGGCTGAGTGTGGTTTACTGTTCCATTGCCTCCTTTCACCATTTTTGAACTCAAGTTGTCACCTTTACTTGATTTCTTCCATCTTTGAGCTTGTATACACTTAAGAACATGCAGGGTGAGGAAATGTGAGGGTGTATTCTGAGTTTCCATCCTCTGTGTGTGGGTGAGGGTGCTGGTTTTGGGTGGTTTGGGTGTTGAAAGCCATAGTCATGACATTTTGAGGTCCAAGTGGTGACCTTTGGTGAGAAAGAACCAACCTTGGTGTAGGCATTTTCGTTTTGGTGTCAAGTCAGAACCTTGGAGTTGCATTGGAGGCTTCCTTTCTGCTTCATTTTCGAAGTTTTGAGCTCTTGAGGTGAGCCATGATCACCTAAGTATCATTTTGAGGCCTAAAGCTTGTTTAATCTATTAAAAAGAGGAACTTTAACCATTTGAGTAAAAGAATGTGTTTCTGGGTTCATAACATGTTGTGTTATATCTGTTTAGGGAGTCATTGGACTCCCAATCGCGTTTGGACCCTTAAATTTGGGATTATGCAGAAGTTGGCTCGAATTTCTGCATTCTGTTGAAGAAGTATTCGAATACTTTCAGGTAGTATTTGAATACTTGTTCATCAGGTAGTCGAATACTCTTGTCATTAGTTGGCCCGGCGGGCTCGGCCCATTTTGCCAGCTCTACCCATTAGGCCCAACGTAGCCACTGACATAAATGGTCTTGGACCCAATAAGCCCACAACCCATCTAATGACAACACAGAGCACTAGCAATAATTTGTTGCCCCAGAGCTAGTTAGGTTAATGACATAATCATCCTATTACACATATTTAGTTGCCGTATGTATTTCCTTTCGTCTCGGTTACCTTCCCATAAAACCTAAGGTAAGGAAACGTATCAACCCTTGCGGTTTAGGGTAAGCTTTATTCGAAATAGGGAATCTTCAAT